ATCTATTGGAGTATGAATCCATGCAAATGTTAGATAGAAAGCACTTGCATAGAAAAAAAGAGGCAAGTTGTGTAAAGCCCTTCGCTCAAATAGAGTAGAGAATTCCTATATAAGAACCAGTCCATTTACCATCTACTGTGATGGAAGAGTCTGATAATTCTGGCTAAAATATACTAAGGCAATATTTTCTCAGTTATAACTAGAATAGGTATAACACAGTATGAAATGGTGTTCTATGTTCTAAAACCTAGTTTCAGTAGCTGGGGATTAGACGGTTGTGCCCCCACCCTAACTGCTCCCCTAGTGTGTGTCAAGCATAAATATTTACCACTGCATGTTTTTAAGGAAACGTTGTTCTTACATAACCTGATTTAAGATGACTGGTCATTTAATTATCCCTTGTGATTATATAATTATTGGTCAGTTACATATTTTGGAGGCCTATTCACAATGCATATCTCCCTGCACACTATTTATATTTCATTAAAAACTAAACTGATAGCTCTAGATCAGTACCCTTTTCATGAAAACTTTGTGTTGTTTTGTCACCCAGCATTGAACCTGTGAGATTAAATCCATTGTGTGGAACGTGTAATAAAGCAGAGGTTTATTTATACATCACTTAACCAAATCTGTTTCACACAGACACATGTTCATAATGTTAAAAACAGTGCCTGTCCACAAGTCCACAACATGTCCTTAGGTTTTATATTCATCTACCCCAGCCACTTTCAGTTGGCTACACATTAAATAGTACCCTTACTTTACACCGGCTTTGTTCTTTCATTTTTCTTTTAATTTTTACTTCAGAGTATATAGGATTATAGTTTTTCGTTGCATTATTGAACTTGCACCTTTCAACATCATAAAAAATAGCTTTCACTTTTGTGAAAATGTGGCTTAATATTGTGTCATACATCCATTTTTAGAATTAAATAAATAAAAGAAATTTAAAAATTATGTCCTTAACCTCCTAAGACCCGAACTCTTCCACAGCATGCATTTTTAATTTCTCTTTGATATTTGGGCTGATTGGGGCCCAATGAATGTAAAAACAAAGAATTACCAGATTTTTTTTTTACCTTATTTTTGTTTTTTAAAAAAAATCAGAGCCACATATGAGGATATTCATTTAAAATTTTGATAGAACAGTAGCAGTATAATGTCCTTGTAAGTGGATATCAGGCCCTCGTAGAGCAAAATTGAGTATTTTGGTCTAAATAACCCAAAATGTGATGTCCACATTAGTGGACGCCAGGTCCTAGGAGGTTAAAGATTATGTAGGTTTTCTGGTATCGAAAATGTGATCAGTTATAGGTCTTCTGTATCTGGGTACAGATGTAAAAATACAACTTGTGGTTGTAGGCATAGTTACCTCAAATCTTGTCATTCTGGTGCAGTGTTTGTATATCAAACTAATTTATAACATATCCTGTCTCCTCATCTTCCCGTTTTCTCTTCTTCTTTCTTGTTCCTTTAGTTTCATCTTGCATCACCACTTACAAGAAAACTCCTCCTCCAGTGCCACCCAGAACTTCAACCTGCTCCACAGCCTCCAAGCCATACATCTCCATTACAGCCCAGAGCAGCACAGAGTCTGCACAGGTACTGCACAAAGAATTAGTCCATCATGTTAATCTGCTCCTTGTGTGGTTACATCCTTATGTGTACCACGGAGGTGTCATTCATAGCAATATAAAGGAAGCATACGTACTTTCATTGTTTCCTAAGTAATAGTGCTTGCATTCACACTAGGTCTTGTGCAGTTTCGTCCATAATTTGGAATTTAGTAAAAAAAAGAAAAAACCTGCATTAACTTTTTAAAATATAGGAATTAATTTTAATATTTGGATGAAAGTCCTTTCAGGTCATTGACTCCCTGAAGTCTAGATCCCATGGATATCATCATATGCTGTATTTTTTTCCTTGAGATGCTCTGCCAGACCTTTCTGCAGTGACCTTCAGTTGTTGCTTGTTGTGGGTCTCGTCTGCCTTCAGTTTTGTCCTCTTTGGTTGAGATCAGATGACTGATTTGTCACTGAAGAATATTCTATTTCTTTGCTTTGAGGGTCATTATTAATTTCCACTGTGAAAAATCATCCGATCCGTT